ACAGCGTGGCTTGAAAGAAATTCATCATCGTGGAATAATGACCATAAAATTGTACAGTTAACAAAATGAGAAAAACACAAACAGCTACATAAGATGAAGAACACTTTGTTTCAATAAGGTGTCTTGATTTTTCAAACGAGATTTTTCGCGTGCATGCATACCCAATTACGTTTCGAAGCGCGTTTACATTTAGGCTTTGAAGCAAAGTCCAATCAGAATAATCCTGATATCCGTCTTTTTCCGATGCAAACGAAGGTTCGAAACTTCAGCACTGCACATTTCGAAATAACATTCGCATATTTTTTCAGCTGGAAGGACTAGTGCTATAAGAGAAAGTTTATTAACACAGTAGACTGATGATACCTTCTAAAGAAACCATTTGTGTTGTTTGTTATATCAAAGTGACAACTTGACCCTGATTTCACCAAGAGCGCATATAAACATACATACATTTTACTATGGTTAGTATCAAATTTGAAAATTCAGGGGTTTCTGAAGAGCCTGTGACTTCAATATGTCGGCGCATTTCGAGGAGCTTGTTTATACCGGACTGTGTTGGTTCTATTTAATTGAGCTTATAACGTTTGTAGCCATTTTCAGTCGGGGGGTGACAATTTTTATAATGACACGTCATAACTTCTGTCTTTTAAGCGATTGTTTGATGAGTCATACAACCTCACGAATTCATGAATTCGTAAGCTTGTTTACCTCTCTAATATAAATCTCAGATATCTAGAAGCGAGTGATCTGGAAAAATAGTAAAAAAGCATTGATAGCATTTCTTTCCCTCTTTTTTTGGTGTCCTCCTTCCTTATCAAACTGTAGTTCTCTTGGGCTTCTCCACAAAATTACGGAACCAGTCTCTTTGACGAATAATTTTGACCTAGGAGCCTGGGAGCAAAAATATTATGTTAAAATGGCGGACAATCGGTGTTATTAATGAAATCTTTGATCATGAGTAAGCGGAAAAGTATCTAATTAAACCCTCTTCAGGAAAACTTTTCTTTGTCCCGTATTTTTTCACACCGTTCCTTGAAAATATGAGCTCTATTCAGCGAGAGGGATCGAGAGATTTTATCTCAGTTTCCATGCCGTGGAATAATGACGACAAAAATGATGACAACAGCAAGGGACGTCGACATACCTCACTGTACAGGGTAAGAGACCGACAATGTGTGGCACCTGTGTAGCCGATTGTTGGTGTTCGTACTTTCGAGTGGAGTTAAGAGCGTTCCATCTTGTGAAACAAAGACCATAAACTATTAAATACGCGTAACTGGATTAGAAGAACGCTGCAGGGCATCGCAGCGGAAAGGAATGAAGGTTAAAACGTGTGCATAAGTTTTCAAAGACACAGCTACATGAATTTCGTCACAATCTACTGTATTATAAAGACTTATGGATATATAAATTTAATGGCTATTGAATTTG